CCTTAATAAGTATTGGCAATATTCGTTATACACATTAGTGCGTTATTCACCAAGCTGGGATTTAACTCTGGAAAGAAGACAGTTACACTGATAGAAAAATATCTAGTATTTTTCCATAATTGCATAGTAAAATAATTATAGTCAGGAATATCATTTTTATAACAATTATTACTATAATATTGGTAATAGCAACCATATAGACACAGTGGTGCCAACTATTTAAAAGATTTATATTCAATAAACTTATCCAAGATTTTTTAAAATAATACTAATCAATTCTCTCGATTAGTTCTGTCGATATTCAGTAACGCAAAGATAATTTTCACTTAAGAGGCACTAACCGAAATGTTTAGTTGCTTAACTACAATCAAATAATTCAATTACTATAATTGTGGGCCCCAAAATGGGTCGCTAACTGTCTTTCTTCCCCAGAGTATTCTGGGAAAACTTTTGACCGTTCCTTTTGTAGTTAAGTAACTTAACATTTCGGTTAGTGCCTCTTAAGTGAAAATTATCTTTGCGTTACTGTCGACAGAACTAATTGAGAGAATTGATTGGTGCCACTTGAAAATCTTGGATGTAGAATAGCTAGTTGCGAGTTTTTAGTTACGCGGGGTAAAAAATTCGTAAAAGATTACGAGTTACGGACAATCCAAATAATTCGATTACCAATTGTGGGCCCCAAAATGGGTTGCTGTCTTTCTTTTTCCCCCAGAGAAGCTGCTGTTAATTCAAGCGGGATTTTTCGACGGGCGTCTATCCCCTGGCGTTGCGCGAACGTATAAAGCTACCACGAGTAACGCAATATTTCTGAGAGCGTATATATATTACACATCTGTTTCCTACCTCTGAAACATTTCTTGTAAGATAGTTGCAGCTTATGAAATTGGAAATAAGTCCGGCAAGTGTCTTTGAGGAGCGCCGTACGAACGTATAAACGACACGGCTTCCCCCTCCCCCTCCCCCCCCGTGAAAATTAACCCTCCTGCTTTCCCCCCATTGGGAAATCTGGACTTTTATATGCAGGATACAACATCCCGCGATGCCGGCGATGTCGGCGAGACGGCGCTCTTTGTACTACATCAAATTTAATCGTCGAATTTAATGAAAGTGTCCGGCAAAAACTAAAGCGTTTCCCGGGCTATTATTCGCGCGACGTGCAATGAAATACTCATTTAACGCTCGTTAAATGCACGTTGAGTGCCTGCAGCTTTCGCCCTGCTTGTGAAAAGTTGAAAAGGCCCTCCCACGATTTATCCCGTCGCGAGACTGAAAGTCGATCCTCGCCGGAAATCGGGTCCGCGAGAAGCGGGCGCCGACTGCACATGAGTACGCGCGCGAGACAAAAGTAATTAAAACTCGCGGATCGTGCAACGATCGCCGGGCCGTAACCGAGAGCGCGCGCGCGCGGGCGGCCCTCGGTGTCGGTGGGCTTGCGCGCGAAATTGGAATTCCATTTTAATACGTTTAACAAAACGCGGGAAGATTAAGCGGAGGAATCCCGGGAAATTGATCGGCCGCCCACGGGGGACACCTAACACACTAAGATCGATAGTCCGTCCCGTCTAATAAACGCGGTCGCGGCATTTATTCCTCGCCACTTTTCTGATATTACGGAGATAAATGATCGGCGACGTGGGGCCCGGAGGGACGGAGAGCGTGAGAGAGAGGCGAGGAGAGGAGAGGAGGCGCGCCCGACGGCCGGATGCTGTCCGAATACGCCGCCCGTTTGCACGGAATGCACGTTGCAGCGGCAAATTGAAAACGTGTTTCCCCGTGTATGACGCGTATATACATTTAGGCTTCGCAAATGTTTTTTAATCCGAACACATGTTGCAAATGGCTGCTGAATTGCCGGAGTGGCCCCCGGTTACACGTCGAAAGTGGACGCGCGCGCCGCGCACTTCCGTAACTTACGGATGTTCTCCGATGTTTCCCCGCGCGTCACGGGGAAAACAAAGCGCGCGTTATATATCCTTCCGCGATTCTTGCGTAATAACAATCCGGCATTTTTCCATGCGCGTTTTATCGCTCGTGCCCCGGGAGGGCTCGTGATTACGACCGTCGGGAGGCAGCATCGGCCGCGTGTCGACATCATTTCCAGCCGGAAGGTCGGCGAGATGCCATTGCAAGGAGGACCTCGTCAAAACGGCGGTTGATTTCCGCCAAGATTAATAATCTTCGAACGGAACGACTGTGCAGCCTGTCCGCGAGGGCTCTCCCTCTCCCTCTCTCTCTCTTTCGCGGCTGAACGAAGTTCGATCGAACTTTATTATAAAACTAATATTTTCCAAGTTCTATGAGGTATTACGATAGTTTTCTGAAAGGGCCTGCCAGCCCGAGCGGCAAGGCGAAATGGTTCGCGGGGCGAAACTTCAATATTCGGCGACCATAACGACACCGACTGATATATTATTTCCTACAACTTCTACTCTCGGGGTTTTGTCTGCTCCGCGACCGGAAGAAAGGGAAGAAAGCGTGCGCGCGAGCGCGGGGCGGCGGCAGCCGGGCGGTTGAGACACCGGGGCGGAAAAAAGAAAGAAAATGGAAACTTGATTAAGAATTCCATCCGCTCGTAGTCTCGAGCGCGCGTTCGCCTTCCAGGGAACGAGGGAACCGCGATGCTCCGCGTTGCGTAGCGAAATGAACGTCCGGCGATGTGAGGATTTAATAATAAAACTGTACCGACATTTTTATTCCTTTTTCTCTCTCCCTCTCTCTCGCTCTTCAAAGATAGGGCGAAGGTACGAGCGGGAGCGTACAGTGCATCACTCAAATTAACTCACCGTTACATCGAAATCGAAACGCGGCGAGCGTTTCGATGACGACCATCGTGCAAATTAACCCTTTTGGTACGGTCGGGTTGAAACGCGCCGAGTGCTCACAGCTGGTCGAGGCACAGGCTCACAAATATATCGCTAGCGCTCAATGGAGAGCAATTTTGCTAGGCTTGGCTTTATTATATATATATATATATGTATAAGAATATATCGTCGACCGAGTCTTTAAAACCGCTGAATACTTGCCAAAATTCATGAAGAGAGCAACAACAGATTTTTGTTACGAAGATAATACCCCGAAATAATAGGTCCAGACGTCTCTATTCATTGCGCGGGAAAGGTTAATTATAACGTATACGTGTGCTAGGCTGCATTGATAAACAAAATCTCTTAATTAAAAAACATATTACTTTGCTCAAGAAAACGATTCATTAGGTGGCTCCTAATAGCTTATTAACTTAAATTAAAAAATTATTAATCAATTTAAAACACGCATTGCTTTAAGTATTTATTAAATGTCAAAGAATAGATGATTTAAATTACGAAAATTTTATTTTAATTCTGTAAAATGTTTGCCAAGACGTAATTTTCACAGCGAAGAACATTGAATTTCTTATTTTACAAAAACAATTAGTTCATTTAACAAATAGTATTCTATATCTCGTGAAATCTTTATTCGAGCACAGAAAATGTAATGATTTAAATTAATTTACTTAATACAATGCATAGATTCACTTGAAATTTTGTATTTTTATTTACTTCAGTAAAAAAAATAGTCTTAAGTAAATCTATTCACTTAGTTTAAGAAAATTGTTTGTCAGTGTGTGCAGAAGGAAAATGTCCTGATTGAATCTCTCGTTATTCATTCCTGTGGATTTAATACTCGCGATCTTTCTTTCGGATTCGAGAAAATTACTCCCGGAGAAATTAACGAAAATAATACAATAACAAACAAACGGAGGAATGACTCGTGCTTTTTTTTATCCCTTTCAATCGGAAAGTGCATTTCCCTACCGAGGAATGTTCGCCCACGAAACGCATAGTCCTAAGAATTAATTGTAAAATTTCAATTTAAGATGAAATTAAGGGGAAAAGGTGTAAAGGTCGCAAACTACGCTCTTTATTTCAGCGTTTCGCGTATATTTTCATTTTATTTAACCTTAATCTTTCAATATATTCTTCCTTTTCGCATTCGCAATTTCCATACCCGCGGCAGTTTTGCGGAACGCAACGCCGCGAGTACGTCCGCGTGTATAGTTTTCGCTGTATATATTATATTGTTTATATACCACACAATAGTACGGAAATATTTTTCCAGTTTTATGCGCTATCCCGGGCGTTTTTACATCTTTTTTTTCTAATACGACGTATATATTGCAGCGCCGGTAGTTTTGGCTTTACCGGCGGCATCGAAGGGGAAATTGGTGGGAAAACGAAAAGGAGATGTCGCAGCGATGGGAAACGCGAAAGTCGGTCGCGGGGTCAAGGGACCGAGCGGCGGAACGGGTCGTGGAGCAGAAGGGAGAGATAACGGGAGCCGAGAGACGCGGCATAGAACAAAGGGTGCTTATCGACACCGCGGTTCTTATCCACGGTAATTCCTTTTATTTTATCCGTTTCTTCTTCCACCGCCTCCGCGGGAGAGGGCCACGAGAGCCCCGGCGCCCACCAGCCGTACCCCGTAAGATAATCGGGCCGAGATCTACTCGGGCGTAGACCGAGCTATTTCCGGGCGTATCCCGCGGGCGCTCCGATTTTTTTTCTCCTATCCCCCCCTCCCCTCCATTAAAAAAATGTTTCTCCCCGGGAAAAAAAGCGACGTTAATTCACTTCGGCGCGGCAATTTGCTCGACTTGACGAGAAAGCGACAGTGGCACGTCGTGGAAATCAACAGTAAAGTTTAGTGACTGACGTCACGGCGTAACTCCTAAATGACATTACGGGGGAAAGAGGTGCCCTTAGTTAAATCGATTGAGTTAATTTTTCACTTTAATCTTCGCATCTCTATGTGCGCAAGGGCTCGCGACGACGTTCGCTGGAAGGAACGTCAATTTCTCACATCGATTTCCATCTCGCTCCATTTTCTTTTTAAGCAGCCACGCTTTTAATACAATATTTGCGACATCGGAGTTATCCGAGTCAATTCGTCGCGCGCGAGATCGGCGAGCTGGCCCGAGCAACGGAGGGGCTTTTTCGCGAGTCAATATTTAACGGACTTACCGGGTGTAGATGACGTACTGCGAAATTGGAGTGTTGTGGGAATTAACGCCGGGTGCCCACGATATATTCACGGCTTTGGACGTGTAACTTATGACAAGCGGTCGTTCCGGTGGATCGGGCACATCTGAAAGCAGAAATTTTATCAACTGTAACACTGACCGGCAAACTCGCGGCCGCGGCGAGACCGTCCGGTCATTTTCGCCGCGGGCCACGTACACTTTCCGCGATTATTAACCAGAACGAGTGTAGCCTGCGCGCACAATGCGCCGGCTACTCAGGGAAGACATTACTTTCAAGTAGTTACAGAAGCTGGTACGGGACGCGACACGTTTACGGGCACCGACGCTAACTCGCTTCAATTCCTTAAGCTGAAATTTATTTTGCCCAAAGTTCGAGTCACGTAGTTTGAATATTTCTCACGGGCGTTTGCATCCGGTATCGACGCAAACGTATAACAACCCTTATATGCGAATACTTATGGTATTCAATATCTTCTTGTCACGGGATAGAAACTTGCTCGCGGTGTTTTACCGATTGTGTCGACAGCTCTCAATCGGCGTTACGTTACTCATTTAAATAAACAGCTCGAATGTATAAGAAATTGTTGCACATAGAAGCACATTTGACTAATCGATACAAATTAATAATTAACTGATTGTATAACGAAATTAATTATTAGATCGATTCAATACAGAAAAGGCGTAACATTTTTCTGAACGCGAACACGTTTAAATTGATTCACGATAATACGAAGTGAAAATCTAGACGAAAGTAAATTGTAAAAAATTAATATACAACCGGGTCTAATTTATATGATTATAAATTAGCACTCTATACAAGATGCTACATAATCACGAAGGTGTACCTGACGTGATTGGTTTTCGTTCGCTTTGACCGATCGGTAATTAAACCTCAACTTAATTGATGCAAATTAATAATTAAGTGATTGTATAAAAAATTTCTAGTATAACAAAATTTATGATTAGATCGATTCAATACAGAAATCAAAGCGTAACCTTTTTCTGAACGCGAATACGTTTAAATTGATTCACGATAATACGAAATGAAAATCTATACGAAGGTAAATCGTTAAAAATTAATATACAACCGGGTTTAATTATATGATTATAAATTAGCACTCTGTGCAAGATGCTACGTATTCACGAAGGTATACCTGACTTGATTGGTTTTCGTTCGCTTTGACAGTTTGGTAATTAAACCTCAGATCCAGCTTTCATTATGGAAAAGTCGAACGCGAGGCAATTTTGCGCGATAACCATATTTTTATCACGAGAAAGATCGTCCGAGGCAAGATCCGTGCGAGCGGGCGTCATTGATAAAACCAAGAAGCATGGCATTGCCTTGTTCGAGAAGTTAATTCGTGTAAAAACCCAAGTTAAATAATAAAAATGTTATCTAGTTTGCAAGTTCTTGGAACTTCATCTGCAATTTCGCTTGTTAAATATTAGCGTATATCCGAGGCTGGCACTCGTAAACGTGACGTACTGGTTGAATACAACCGGGAGGAGAATAACACCTCCGCGAGACTCTTCTCTCGCCGAAGTTATTCGCGCGAAGGAGGAGGAAACACCGATCACGCTCTCTGCGCCGCGGCGCGGCGGCCGCATCGGATAAGGCTCGGGCGTTTAATATGCACCGGCGTGCGGCGCGGCGAAATATAACATTGCGCGCACGTTGCATAAGATCATAAATGAGAGCAGGGACCTCCAACCTCTCAGGATGGAGTCGTCTTTTCTGACCTCGCTCCGCGCGGCCTTTACGTCGCCGCCGCCGCCGACGTCGCGCGGCTGCACCCCCGCCGTTTATGCCCGCCGTTACCGCACGCCGTGACACCCGCGCCGAGAAAAATTTCGTAACGCAGAAGTTCTACGCGCGGCACTTGATTTACATGAATTACACGACTACCGTACAATGGCCCCCGGCCCGATATTAAGTATTGAATTCGCGCGCCGACCGGGCGCGGAGCTATGAAACGTTGTATATTTAGCGTCGCTAATTTACGTATCAGTCGCGTTAATTTACGTGATTTTATCGTAATTAAATGCGCGCTTGTCCGCGCAATTTGTATTTGCTCAATATGACTCGATATGATACTCGATATGACAGAAAAGTTATATAACGAGACATTTTAATTCACCGTTTATTTCGTTGCATTAGCTTGTGTGTGATTTTTATGTGATTAAATGCGCACTTGTCCGCGCAATTAATACGTGCCCAATTTATTCTCGCTGCATTAACCGGCATAACTTTTACGTGACTGAACGCGCACTTGTCTATGCAATTTACGTCTGTCCGGTGCGTCACTCGACGATAATCTCGATAATATTTAATTAATTCGATCGCGCGGAGATATGTGTGCGCGCACACCGAAAAAATTGTATTCTTGAAATGTATACTTTACAAATTCTCCAAATAGATTTACTTAATGAGGAAGAATATTTCCTTCTTAACATCATGTTTTTTGGAATATCTTCTTAAATTAAGAATATAATAATTAATAAAAGATTATTAATGATCCCGAATATTAAACAACATAACAGAAAAATGCATTGTTTAGTGTATATTCTCATACATCAAGAATATCTAATAAGAATGTCCGATAAGAATATCCTGTTTAGAAGATTCCTCTCTTAAATTAAGACAACACTTTCAGCGCTTATTTTAGAGTGAAATATTATAAAAGTAAGTGAAATATTCTTAAAATAAGAATACAATTGTTTCGGCGCGCTAAAGTTTGTCGCGAGTCGTTTTCTCTATCGGCAACGAAATACGAGCGGTACGTTGTGAATATGTAAGAAATAAATATTTAAGAACAAAAGTAATAATAAACATCAATGAAGCCGCGCGAAAGCGCCGCCGCTCGCGACGAGCGTTACACAGACGTTGCCCGCGCTTATTGTCTTCCTTTATGAAAATCCACGCGCAGTCGTCCTATAATTAATAAAAACTCGTTATATTGGACTCTTGAATAAACTGCGCCCCTTTTTTTTATTTATAATGTTATCTCGTTTGCAATCCGCGTGCTTTTCGCGTACCTGCCTGCATTTCCGCGCGATGATATAACGGGGGGAAAATTCAAAGGCGTGGAAACGGAATAAATGAGATTTACTGTGAAGCCGTCGTTCGCGAATTATTAATTTCACATAGCGTTTCCGGTTGGTAAACGAAAAGAAAAGCGGGGAGGAGGCGGGAGGGCAGCACATTACGCGCGTCTTGAGTGGCTATCGGGTTTTTCTTTGCTCAAGCGGAAGAATACGTGAAACAAACAAGATCCGGGGCGAATCAACTCTCTCTTGCCGCGGGAAAATATTTCTCTTCGCAAGTTTTGACCTTTCTGTGTAGCCGACCGACACATCCCCCGTTTCCTCGAGTATTTTTCTTGATATTATAGCACTTGTTAATCTACTTACACGAAACTTTTACATTTCACCTAAACTTTGCGCCGCACACGCGCAAAGACATCGACATGCACGGCTGAATCTGCTTTTCTCGTCGCGATTCAAGCTTTTATGATTTTGAACGCGAGATTAATTGTATCGCGAGACAAAGGCCCTTTTTTTTCCCTCTCGTTTCCCTTTTGCTCTATTGTGCGTGGCGATTGCCTCGTCAGTTCCTACTTTCCATCCCGGCAAAGAAGTGCACGCGATATTCAATAGGAAGAAATTAAAATCAATTGCGAGTCTTTGCGTTAATTTTCTCCGGAGCAGAGATTACGAGACACACACAGACACACGCGCGCGCGCGCGCGCGTGCACCCGCATGCACACACCTCTCTCTCTCTCTCTCTTTCTCTCCCGATTGCCCATTAATTCTATACCATTTAAACAGGGTACGCGCCGCTGCATCGCTCTACCACCCGTCGTGCGTTGCGGCCTTTCATTAATAATTCATGCTCTCTGCTTTACGGGGTCAACAGTGGACGTTTCTTTATCTGCGCCGCAAGTCGAGCGCGTTGCGTTGCACAAAGCCACCGACGGACGTGCGGCAAAGTAAAACCGTGCGGGCTGGACGCGCGTGCGAGTCTCGTTATACAGATTCCTACACTTAGCGTTTTGCAATATTCAAACGACTCGCCCCCCCGGGGGAAATGAAACGCTTATAAATCCCGTAGAATGTTTATAGATCCCCTGGTCGTTTGCCTCTCGCGCGGAGCAGCGACCGTGCTTGAACTCTCCGCAAAGTGAAAAATTTATCGCTTATCCTTTTTAACCGGTTGCGGACGGTAATTACGTGATAAAATAATGACGGCCGCTTCCAAGTGTTTTCGCGGCGGACAATTCGCGGCGGGCCGCGGCCGGACAATCGAGACGATCTCGATGCGTTTGCACGGGCGCGAGCGTATCTCCCGGGGCGATATTTTTCGTGTTAAATCTTTACCGGAACGTAAACTGAAGTATGCAAAACAGGTACGTGAGGTGACTAATTAAGTCTCAACGTAACGAGTTAAAACTCGGTTGAATTTACGCGACGGTTTCTTTTTCCAAGCTAAGAACTAGGCGGGTAGCCTGCAATGAAATTAATTGTTCAAGGTATTTCCCGTTACGGGGGACGGAGTGACCGATACGGGGGGCGGCCCGGGGCGCGTGTACTCGTGGTGCATGCCGGGATAACCGCGCGTATGCACCGTAGGACGGCCACGTCGTCCCTCTCTTACGGCGGGTAGAATATAAATTTCTACGAGCGCGTTTAGCGGAATTTACGAGCGTCATTTTAAGAACTGTTTTGCCTTGCTCAACCATATGGCTCCCACGTAAATATCTCTCACCCCGTTTCACCGTTAAAACTCGGTATTCGACCATTAACTGTACTCCCGTTTCCGCCTACTCGTGACGCGCAGGTTCCCTTCGCGCCGACGTCATCGGCGTAATTAGCACTTTACTTAATTGTGACGGGATTAATGCGACCCCCCCGGCCTGATTAAATCCTTTCCTTTCTTCCGGCCGCACGAGGAATCGGCAGTGCATCGCGGACGATGACGCTAACGGTGACTCCGCCGGCGAACCTGGCGGCGTTAGGATTGCGATGGAAAGTTGAGAAAAAAAATCCCGTTTACTTAGGTATTACTTTGAAATTGCACGTAAGCGCTTTATCGTAAGAGCGAGA